TACTATCGATATCTTCCCCTTTGTCTTCCAACTGGGCGGCAATGGCTTGAAGTTGCTCTAAAAGGGAGCGCTGGTCCTTTATTGAGGGGGTACGCAGCGTGCAGGCTTCCAGTCGTTCCACTAGATGGTTCACCAGCCTTTCTCCGTCACTATATTTGTTACGGAGGCACATTACCGCCTTTGAATAGTTTTCTTTTGTCACTCTGAACTTCATAATACATTCTCGAGCCTCCCCTCTCAAGCGTCCAGTAAATAGTTGTATTTGACCATTTCGGGTATATCCCTTGAATGGATGTTATTATTGAATATTTCCCAAAAATTGTCCCATTCCCATATGTTCCCCGCAAACACTGGGATTGGGAGAGGGGGTAACTCCAACTGTCTTGTCTGCACATGAGTCATCACAGCTGGCGATGTTTGTGCCGACCCTTGTACTGTATCAGCTGGCAGCGATCGATCGCTGTGCGCAGTGGTCATTGTTGACAAAGCTTGCATGCGGGCTCGGAGAAGTATAAGGTGATCAAAGGCCATAGAGAGCGCCGTCTCTCCCTTTCCCATGTAATTATCAAGGTCATCTGTTTCCTCTCCCTCGATATGTTCGAGACCCTCAGCGGCTGTTGCTAGCTCTAAAAGGACTTTTTCTACTTTGTCCGATATTGACTGTATGGCGCTGATGCTTTCCTCTAAGCGAAAGATGGTATCAATTCGTTCCTCCTGGGTAGTGCTAGGATCAAACGAAGATTCCTCAAGTTTCTCTACTTTGATTTGTCCTATTATATGCTCTAACTTCTTGGTAAACATAGTTACTAAGCGTTTACGAGTTGCGAGCTGAGAGGCCATGGTCCCGATGTAAAGAAGTCCGACTATTGCAATGATTGAGAGAGGAAAATCCGAAGTGGATGGAGAGAGGAAAATCCGAATCAAAGAAAAAAGCAAGAAAAACCGTTATTGCCAAAATGGTTGAGTGCGGAAATAAAATCCAATCTTGAGGAAGAAATAAGGCCGCACTTGAATTTGGACTACTCAAACAGAAGTGTTAACCGACCTGTTCCTTTTGACCGATGCACCAATTGTAGGTATATGTAGGTATACGATATCCCAATTATATTGCAGTCCGATATAGCTGATATATATATAATTAGGCCGATACCCAATATTGTGCCACGCGGGTCTTTTCTTGATCTGACTGAATCAGAGTAATACTAACTATTTATTGGTATGAATATAGCGAATAACTGTAACGAACTGGATCTAGCGTAGCGTCCTCTATTGCTGGGATCGTCCTTGATGGTCGTAGGGATAGGGAGTCCTGTCTTGGTGTCGAGACAGTAGCAGTCCAATAGCGGTAGCGGAAGAGCCGACCGGAGCAGAAGCCGAAGCGGGAGCCCTGACTCCAGATGTGGTCCCCATTTATACGCCTTTTGCAGCTGGACGACTGGCACAGCAAGAAGCATGAAGCAGGTGGCTATGGAATGTGACATCTCCTGTAAAACCTAGAATTAGTCACTAGCTATGAGCACGGAAAGCATCATTAATCAGATGTAACTGTAATATGAAAAAACTCCAATAAGTAGAAGTAAATAAGTAAACCTCTAAATATATAAAGTAGCGTTCGCTACACTCCCGGCCGCATTACTGATTAGCGACCATGCAATCGCTCAAGTATCTCCAGCTGAGTACGCACATTGCAGATTTCGCGTCGAATTTGATCTTTAGAGTCCGGTACAGAGCAGAGTGCGCGGTGGTGTCCGTCATCGTCCGGGATGGTGAAATCCAGCACGGTACTTTTCACGATCGAACAATACCAGCATTCTTCGATAGTATCTCGACATTCATCCGCCTTCTTTGTGCATTTGTTGAGGCAGTATTGACAAATTCCTTCTCTCAATATGATCCTGAATCGTTGATCTCCATCAGTGCACTGTGGGCAGGAGTCAGAGAAGTGGTCGTTCCGTAGCTTGCAGAATGCACATACACCCGCTTCTCGAGATCGTTCACCAATTTTTCGTTGGGGCAGTCGTCGTAGTCCATTTCTGAGCAAGTAGAGTCTTCTCTCCAAGCGCTTCATCTCGCGTGAAGGCGACTGCTCTCTTCGGATGATCGTGGGTTGAATGTTTCGATCGTACTGTCTCGTGTAAGTCAGCGTAGGCCTGTCTTGCTCGCCTTGAAGTGAGTGTTCCGCGTTGCCGGTCTTGGATTGATCCTTGTTTCGATCGTCCTCCCTTGTGTTTTCTCGAATCGGACTATCTTGCTGGCACTGAGATTTCTCATCGCGTTCGTCGGTCTCGAATTGGTGATCGTTCCAATCATCTTCTCGGATCAATTTGTCCATATACTCGTCATCAGAGAGGATTTGCACTTTTGGATTGCTCTCTCTTAGCTCTTCAGCTGGCTTCCTCTTCGGCTGTGGGGCAACATCCGCCATATTTTTGGGTTTTATGGCTATTTTCGCTAGATGCTCTTCCATTCGTTGTAGCGTGGCATGGACGGAGTCGTTATCGTTGAGGTTGTTGAAACTGATTCCTTTCAGGACTATCTTCTCCTTGCTGATTAGTTCCATTGCTCGCTCAATGTCGCACTCGAGCTCCTTGATAACGGTGTCCAGTATTGACAGACGTTTGTCAACTATTAGAGTAACTTCTGTAGTGCTGGTATCGTGTCTGGTTCTCTTTCCTGTTTCCCACGCTAAGCGTTGACGTTTGCTGAGTTGCCCATTGTCAATCAGGAGGAGGTAGATGGAATCCAAGAGGATGAATCTCTGCGTCAGGCATTGCAGTTTGCCTTTCGTCACTATGGCGGTGGATAGCAGACGATGCGCCATCATAGCAAGTTCTCCGCCTGTGTTGTCCGTGCACGTGTGTTGAAGAAGATGGTGCTTGTGGGATTCATCGAGTATCTTCGATATCTTGACTTGCTTATGAATCTCCTCCAGTGTTGCCGCCATATCTTGTTCCAACTTTTGCTCCGATATCGATTCTTTACGAAAGTCCGAGAGGAACTGCATGTCTTTCGAGAAACTTGTTTCCTCTGCCATCGTGTAGTGGCCTGTAATAAAATACTTCGGGTCTAGGATTGAACAAAGAAGGCATACTAGCAGAACAAATTTAATCTAATTTTGACTACTCTAACAAATATATATATATCCATTTTGCGGACTAATGTTGTTTTCTGTGCCGCTTGTTCCGTTTAGCAGAGAAAATGCAGCGTATCCCCGCTTTTGCCAAAGCCGCCAATGATCTTGGGAGTAGCAACAATATCCATAAAGCGATCTTTGCTCCCCAGTTAGACAGTGTCAGGTACGTGAGTGTCAGTAGGACTAGTAGTCCCGCTATGGCTATCAGCAGGGTCTTATACCACTGTAGGAATACTGACGCTATATGTGAAAGGTCCGGTATTGCGATCCCGCCGGAATCTGAAGGGTTACCGCTCAGCCATTGCTCAACAAACCCTGTTAGTGAACCAGTGAATTTCAGTACTCCTCCCATCTCGAATGTAGTCGATATTTTACCACATGACACCGAACAGTTGAAGTGAATGCGAGCGTTAAATGAGCTGAATCTCAAAATGGAATCACTTCCTCCAGTACTGCAGGGTATCGTAAATGGTAACTGGTCGCATAAGATTTCAGCTTGGGTGTTGTTATTGGTTGAGGTACATGTTATTAGTACCCGAGCTCCTTCTGCACAGTTATAACATCCGGTGACTGCCCCGGCCTCCACCTTGCAAAGGTCGTCATCCACCAGAATTTCGGTTACCAATGCATCTTGAAAACTCAAGATAACTTCCGCCATGATCATACTGAATAATCTTGCTGAAACCTTGTTTTCCTCCTGTCGGAAGGTCAACATTGATAAGGTCTTTGGTAGTTGGTTTTCCAAAGTATTGAACCATAACCCAATAGGAAAGTCTCTGCACATGCAGTTCGCCTTGGTCTCTGCTGGCATACATACGCAGTCCTCAAAGACAGGACACGTAAGATTCTGGGCATTGGTGTAATCAATGCACTGAAGTGCTGCTCTTGCACCACTTTTCCATATAGCAGTACGTGCCGAATTGGTGATGAATTGAGTACTGAGAATTGGTAGCGGTGGGAGAACTACCGACGACAGCGTAAACTTGAGAGTGTGCCATTGCTGGGGTACATTGGGTTGGAGCCATAGGGTGGTGTTTGCTGAATATTTCCTCATTCTGTCTACATGTGTTATCTCTACTTCTGCCGTTTCAGTCCACCTATTGCAATGAAAGACTTCATAGATTTCATCGTCTACTGGTTCCAGATATATGCGATAAAATAGGCATCCAGAGCTCAGAAAGAAACAGTCACACCCTGGGCCACCGCACGATTCTACACAAGCTGTGCGGCCAGGAAATCTATTCCCTTGTTCTAGCTCGGGGATAAGGCTAGATGCATTCACCGCGCCACATTTTTCTTCCACACACGACCCCATGTGTGGGCAGCGTTTGCTGTCCACAATTCGGTACAAGGTGTCTCTTGTAAAAAAATTGGTTTCTTTCTCACAGTGGAGGACTAACCCTTTCCAACGTAAGCGTATCTCCTGTATTGGTGTGCTATTGTGAGAAAGACGAAGGCAGGCTTCTTGTTTGAAAGTATTGATTTTGAAAAGCTCGGAAAGTTGAATATGGCAGACCTCCTTCGTTGACCTAGTGCAAATGGTGGAATAGTGGTTGAAGACGTCGACCATCTGACATGCCTGTTGACCTTGGCAGACCATCATCACTACGACTATAATCTCAGCAAGAGTTCTTCTGCGAAATCGTCGGGTATTACCTCCCCTGATATTGCGAAGGCCACAACGTAGCAGGTACCACAAAACTTTTCCCAGTATTCTAATAGGCTTTCCGACCACCAGAGGCACGTAGAGGAACACGTAACATCCCGTAATAAGGAAATAGAGCAGGGTCATTATTCCGAGTATCGCACTGACGGGCCAACATTCTGGGTTGAAAAGGTTGGCACTACAGAAGGTGCATTTTACTGCCTCGCAAAATGGTGCCGCTGGGCATCGCGTCTCAACCGTTGCAGTAGCGTGATTTTGTATGAATTTCCATTGGACTGCGTAGTCATACAAAACTACTTCCGGTGGAAAGGTAACGTTCTCAACAGTCTTCGGGTTGTTGAACATCATACAAAACTGATTACCGCATATTTCGTACGGGGTCTCCTCCTCTGATTCGAGCCTGACTCCTCCTTGGAGACATTTTACGACCCGTTTGGGAATGGAAATATTTTCTTGGGCTGTTGCGGTGAATACACATAAAAGCAGAAGTACAATCATGCTTTGTGAAAACATGGAGAGAGAGAAGAGATTCCCTACGTGAGAAGAGTTATCTTCGTTGTAGTTAATGTTCTTTCGTTGGCGCAAATTATACCGTGGTTCGGGTACGCGTCGCTCTTCTTCTTCCTCAGTCTTGGATGTTGCCTGGCCATCCCCATTTTCTCTTGCCTCACTGTACCTGTTCTTCATCTTCGTGTGGTGCTCCTGAGTGGTGTCATCTTCGAGTTCCAAAGGCACAAGAAGATTGATGGGCCGTCGGATTAGTCGCTGATAAGGCAGCCGCACGACCGCTTCTCGGATTGTTCCCTGCGCGTTACTCGTCAATGCTTGTATAATTCCCACTTTCCACGAGTGGCGTGGTACTGTCGCTTCGCAGATGAGCACCAAAGCACCTTCCTGCGGTTGTTGCGCGCAACCTTTCTTGCATCCTACATTGATCATATGTTTCTCCCGGAGGCTGGTCAAGTATTGTTGCTGCCAGACGTTCCAAAACTTTTCCGTCATCTTGTACGATACTTCCACCGCAGCCGTCGCTTGACTTTTTGTCTGTATCGCCCACCTTTGCTCGGGCGGTATATAGTCGTCATCTCCTTCCTCCCTTACCGTTGGTACCATGGGATAGTTTAGACAGAGATCTTTTTGTAGGAAGTCAATTGGGCGTATAATTTGATTTCTGTCTAAGTCCGTGGTTTCATACGTAAGCGGACGCGTATTGAGGATTGATTCAATTTCCGTTACCACCGTGGTTAGTTCCTCGAACGATAGTAATGATCTGCCAACGGTTTTATGAAACGAATACTTGATGGACTTAATCATCCTCTCATAGAACCCTCCTTGCCAAGGAGCGTAAGGGGTAATATGTTTCCAGTCAATTCCTTTATTGCCCATCTCTCTACTAATCGATGGATCGTCCTGCGCCGCTTGTAGACTTTCCTTCAGTATTTGTTCCCCTAATAGAAAGGTGGGAGCGTTGTCGCTGACAATTGTCTGAGGAACCCCCCTGCGCGAAAAAAATCGTCGCAGCATATGTAGAAACGCGATAGTCGACAAGTCTGACACCACGTCAAGGTGTATGAGCCTAGTGACCATGCATGTAATAATGGCTCCATAGCATTTCCCTTGACTTCCATCCTCTCGTTTTATTGACAGGGGGCCAAAATAGTCTAGACCGACATGCTGAAAAGGTCTTGATCGTACTACTCGCTCCTTTGGTAAATCTCCTTGAGAGGGGTAACTATAGGGAAGGTTGTTGAATTTCTGACACTTCACACACTTACGAATCAACTTCTGAACTTGTGAGCGAAGCTGAGGGATCCAGTAATGTTGCCTGACAAGACTCACGGTATGGTTGATGCCAATGTGTCCCTTTTGATGAACATCACGAACAATAATGTCAGCCAAAACTGTTTTTTGCAGTACGAAGACGGGATATTTAGCTTCGTAGTCTAGCTGTGCTCGGCCCAAGCGTCCGTAGCAACGTAATATGCCTTCATCGTCCCTTCGTATATTCAGATCTCTAAGGGATCTCATGATAGTGCTGGTGACGTGCAACTTTTGGTGAGCCATTATGATCACTTTGCCCGCAAATTCCACCTCTGTTCCACATAACGGTAATGGGTCTACGCCAAAGGGAATTTCCGGTAGTGCGATCCGAATCTTGGTTGTTTTCCTTATATTGAGTTGTGCCACAGTGTTGCGCACAAACCGAAGGGCGTACGCTATTATTCGTTTCGCATGAGTGAATGTCCGCACATGGCTTGATTGCAGGAGTTCGGGTTCATATGGCATTACTCCTGTTGTAGCCACTACATTGGTGGCGTCCCCTGGATCTTCTCCTTCGTCGTAGGTGTCGTCTCCGAAGATTGTGTGTCGTATAGGCCAAGAGGTCTTGTCTTCTTGAAGCCATTTTGGCCCTTTCCACCAGTAATGCTGGCTAAATTCGGTGCTCGTCAGTCCCCGTGTCCCACAATCCGCAGGATTTTCTTCGGAAGGCACGTGTCCGAATTGCACAGGACATAGTTCTTGTGTTAAGTGGGTCACGATTCGTCTTATTTCCGATAGTCGATTATGAACAAAGACTCCGACTTCTCGATTAGGGGGACTTCTGACCCAGCATAATGCGATTTCGGAATCTGAGAAAATGTAAATCTCTTCAATATTGAGAGTGGTCTTCAGCTCAGTTGCGATTGCATTCGCTAGGCGAGCAGCCAGCGTAATCGCGTTCATCTCGAGTTTCGGTATAGTGGAAGCTCCATGGAGCGGAGGCAACTTCGATTTTGCCATTAGAAGGTGGACTTCTCCTGAATGTAAGAGGTAGGCACATGCACACATTCCTGTGGTGCTAGCATCTCCAAAAACCACTATCTTGACTGCGGACTTCTTCGGTGCCAGAAATCTGGGGATGGATTTGTGAAAACACTTCAATTCGCTGCTTATTTTGGTCCATTCCTCTACTTTCTCCTTCGTCAAAGGGGTATCCCACTCGTAGTGATCTTTCCACAAGCTTTGCAAGAAAATTTTTGCCTGGTGAAGAAGTGGGACAAACCAACCCAATGGATCGTATATGGAGGCTATTGCACTGGTTATAGTCCGCTTATTGATGGTCAGACTCTCCTTTATTGCGCAGCGTCCTTCCAAGGAATCGTTCCGCGAGTTCCATTCAACTCCGAGCACCTTTGGACAGCGACTTTTTGCTCTGTCTACCTGTGGTATCGAGTCCATGACTTCTCCCTTGTTGGAGGTGAACTCTCGTAAATTCATTTTGAGCTCTCCGAATATTGCCTTGGACCTGACATAAAACTGCTGCGCTTCCTCGCATGTATCACAGGTAAAAAGAAGGTTATCCACGTAGAGATTGGTTTTGATTTCCTGCACCAGGTTCTTGTCCTCGTGGCTATCCAAATGGTAGTGGGTTGTTCCCGCCAGAAGGAACGGGGAGGGCTTTAGTCCGAAGGTGACTCGCGTAAAACGAAATATCTGTACGTTATCTACTGATGGAGGCTTCTTGTGATCTCGGAGCCATAAGAAACGAGTCACATCCCGATCCGTTTCATGAAGGCGGACTTGAAGGAATGCTTTCTCGACGTCTGATATCAAAGCTATATGACCGATCCGCATACGAAGCAGGAGGCCATATAGTGCCGGTAGGATTACGGGACCTCTATACAAGACGTCGTTCAGCGAAGGGCTGCTCTTGTAATGAGCAGAAGCGTCGAAGACGATGCGGAGCTTCGTAGTCTCCTTCTGCGGAGTCAGGACAGGTTGGTGCGGGATATAATGTACCTGAGTCCGTTCTCCTAAATCGTTATCGTCCACCAGTTCCACAATGCCCTGTTTGAACTGGTCTTGAAAGACTTCATTGTACTGATCCAGCAATTGTCCGTTGTTCTTTAGTGAGGTCCAAACATTGAGTAGACGTTTAAAAGCTAGTGCTCTGTTGTCTGGCAAAGGTGGATGCTGCACCTTCCATGGTAAACGCACGTAATAACCATCTTCTCGTCGTTCGATAGACCTCCTGAATTGCTCCCAGACTTGTTCATCCAGCTTGGTTTTAGCTTCCTTTTCCGGTCCCTGGAATTCTTCTGTCCCGGCTGAGTCCATTGACCAGTATTGCTCCCACTGGTCTCTTTCTTCTTGTGTTATCTCTTCCTCACTCTCGCTCACCATATACACCCTAACGGAACTCATTGACCAATACTGATCCCATTGATTCGCTTCGTTGTCCTGATATTGGGAAACATGGAGGATTTCCCGAGGATCCTCTCTGGGCTTTCCACAGATGAGGTAGCCTAGTTTTGTGGGTAAAATATGCAATCCCGATGGAAGCGATAGTGGGGGTGTATCATGCCTTACGAATGACCAAAGCAAATCGCATCCTAAGAGGATAGATGGCTGAATGATTTGCTTTCCTTGTCTGAGATTTACTGGCAAATTGAGAGTGCGAAGGAATTCCTGATCTTGATTTGAAAGTGGCGGCGGGGCGTACGAGTGGGTCAAAATATTGTATGTAAGTAATTCAAGAACATGAGGGCTCCCTTCCTGGTCCCATACATCGACGCGCACTTTCTGACATTTACGTTTCGCTATCTCAGTTGTACCAAAGGTGTTCAACTTAATGTGTCGCTCTTCAAGCACCGGTAGGTGAAGCTGCGCTGCTAGGGTGCTATTTATAAATGATACCTCGGCTCCAGTATCGAATAAAACGTCCACTTTTATTAGACTCCCTGTCTTCGGATCTAATATTGTGAATTCTCCCGTGGGCAAAGAAGGGTGAAGAGTATTCTGTGTACTCAAGACATTGTGCACGGGAAGAACTGATACCTCTCCAAGATCGTTCGCTTTGTCGTCTTGGGTAATTACTGTATTCGAATGAACTGTGCGTGGGGATCCCTTACTGATGTTCCCTTTTGTGTTTTCCTTCCCCTTAGACGCCTCGAAAAACCCACTTTTGTTTTTCATGGGGCTTCTGTTCTGCGTGGACGACAACGGCCTCGACTGTTTGGGTTTGAAACAGCACGACGTGTGATGTAGACCATTGCAATTAAAGCAAGAGCGACCCTTACATTGATCCGAGGCATGAGTCGATGATCCGCATATGAGGCAAAGCTTATTGCGTCTCAGGTATGCCGACCTATCTTGCGGCGTGGTATATGTAGTGCAGTGCATGGCTGAATGACCCTTTTTACAGTACATGCACGAAGCCGTTATTGGTTGGTAAGGTCGTCTTTTCGCAT